GTGTGTGTGTGTGTGTGTGTGTGTGTGTGTGTGTGTGCGCGCGCGCGCACACGTGCGCGCGAGCGCCTGTGTATCTATCTGTGTACATATGTCTACCTGTCTTTATGTGCATGTGTCTGTGTATGTCTGCTGTGTACGAGCATGTGTGTCTGTGTGTGTGTGTGTGTGTGTGTGTGTGTGTGTGCCTGTGTGCATGTCTGTCTGTCTGTGTACGTCTGAGTGTCTGTGTGTGCATGTGTGCGTCTGTCTGTGTGTGTGCACGCGCGCGCCTGTGTGTGTGTGTGTGTGTGTCCCTGGGATTGAACCTAGGCCTCCTCTGCCATTGAGATACATCCCCAATTTCTTTGCATTTTTATTTTATTTATTTGAAACTCGCTGTCCTGGCTGGCTAGCCAGTGGGCTGCAGGGGTCCTCCACCTCTGCTTTCCCAGTAATGAGATTATCGGTGTGCACGGCCTCGCCCGGCTCCCACGTGAGTGCTGGGATCCCAACTTCGGGTCTCGTGCTTCGGGGGAAGCACTTTACAGACTTTACAGAACACTGTACAGCCCCTCCATTCACTGCCTTTTATGTTGAAAGAAACTGGGTCACCTGTCCTGAGGAATCCCCCATGCTCTGGCACTGACGGCATCCCCATAGCATTTTCAGCTTTCTAAATTATTATTATTCCTTCTATTTGTGATGAACTTCTAGTTTGAGGCCTGATTACATTTTTACAACAAAAATTCATGGATGGCATATCAGAAGGCATGCAGCAGAGACCTCTGGCCTGGACATGTACTCCCCCAAATTTTTACACACACACACACACACACACACACACACACACACACACACACACACGCGCGCACACACACGCACACGCACACACGCACACACAAATGGGAAAGGATCATGGTTAAAAAGAAAACAAAAAGGGAAAAACAAAAATATGGAAGGTGTGAAACTTCTTTGGATCCTGTGTAAACTGAGCTCTGGGAAGAGACACTTGTGAGGTGAGAAAGGAATCAGAGAGATGTGCTCCCTCACGCCCGGCAGCGATGGCTGGTCCTGCTGGGTGGGAGAGCTGTGTCGGCTCTCCCTACTGCAGGTGCAAATCTGAGTATTCACAAGCAAGCAGACATGATGTGTTCTCTGCTTTGAAACGCTAGAGCAAGAGAGAAAACAGGGCGGTGGGAAGAAGAGCGTGATTACACGAGGCTAGCGGCAGCAACAACAAACCCTGATATCTTTTTACTGCACAAGAATGTTCTAGACTCACACTCCAGACACCTCTAAACAGCAAAAACAGTAGAACCGTGGCTAAGAGGAAGGAGTTGGGGCGCATGGAGTCGGGGAACGCATGTGTTCCCTTCCCATCACTCTGTACTATTTGAACCTTTAAATACAAACATTACTTCTGTGATTTTCAAAGGAAACATTCCCAAGTGCATACTTTAAGATAATCTCATTATTTATTCATTGAGTCAACTCTGTTTCTACATGCCAAGAGCCACTTAAAACGGATGGAACCAGAAAGGCTCTGAAATAAGGTTAGGAGATCCAAAAAATGCAATTTTACTCACAGGTATAAGTGACACAGGTTGGCTTAACCAAGCAGCTAGAAACAGCGTCCTCTAACTGAAAATATGCCTTCAACATTGGACAGTCAACTTCTGCTGTGCTGATTGGCAACAGGTGTGGACAGCGGCTGTTGCTCCGACTCTAAGAAAAACACCTCTGACAGGCGCCCCTCACTCACTCATGAAAGCCCAGAGCCCCTCGGTCTGTGTTGACCCTCTGGGCTGATCTCATCCCACCCTCAATTTCTCATCACCTTTCCTCTGCATCACTGTTTCCACCACACGGCTATCTTGGTCCCCAAAGCCTGCATATTGAACAACAGAAGGTTGAGAAAGGCCTGGACCAGGCCTCCAGGTGAGTTTGTTGTCATACGATGGAGAGAGAAAATGATGATAATGATGTCTATTCTGGGTCAGAAGAATAGCAGAGAACTATGCAGGGCATGCACAAACAGGCTGTGACAGGTCCCTATCTTACGGGAGTGTTTCCCACTATTGAAACCAGAAACTAATTTCACAGAATGAGCAGAGGAAGGAAAGAAGAGCTGAGCCCTGCCCTCCAGGCCAGCGATTTCATGGCACCCCAGAGGACGGCACCAAGAACACTGCCCGAGTGCAGATTCCCCAGCACCTTGTCCTGCCTACGTCATCAACAGCTCCTCTGGTCTCACTTCCCAGGCACCACCTTAATTCTGTAGTTTCAAGTGTACTGCATGCAACACACTTCCTTACTCCAGAATCTTTCTGGTACCATCCATTAAGTAGCCCTGGCATGTAGAAACTCAGTTGCTTCCATAAATAAATAATGCATAAATATAATAAACCCTGCATATTAGTACTGCATATAAATCCACTTATTTATCTTGAAACTATGCTGCCTTAGTTTTAATTAGTACCAAAATACACATGAATCGTCTACAAATTAGGTGTTCTTGGACAGACTAGGGAAAAATATAATAATGAGAAGACACCGACTGAAAAATAACTACACTCGTAACTATTTGGAATTGTGTGTGTGTGTGTGTGCGCGCGCGCGCGCGCACGCGCGTGCGTGAACACGCATGCTTGCAGAGGCCACATATCAAAGTCAGGTGTTCTCCCCAGCCACTCTACACCTTATGTTGTTGAGACTAGGTCTCTCCTTGGACCTGGAACTAGCCCAGTCAACAGAGTGGCTGAGCACTGACTCTGGGATCTGCCTGTCTTGGCCTCCCCGGCACTGGACTACAAAGGTACACACTTTCACATGGGCCCTGGGGATCGAACTCAGGTCCTCATGCTTGTGTGCTGAGCTCTTTGGCTGAGCCATCTCCCCAGCTCTCCCTTTGGAATTTTTATCGTGGACGGAAAGGAAGACAGAAGCCCGATGAAAAAGTCACCAGAATGCATCGAGAGATTTCCAGACTGTGCCAGTTATCAGCTCCTGGTGACATTTGCATTTTTATTTATTCAAGGAAGAAATTTCACATTTTAGGACACATCCCATGAGTACACGATGCTGTTAATGACAAGAGATGGGGAGGGAGAATGCAACTTCTTTCATATGCCAAACTATTTTCTGTAACTTGTGCTCAGATTTAAAGCCTGGGGAAATACAATCACTTCCCCAGGATGAACCACATATTCTGGAAGCACTAAGACTGCAATGTTCATGATTTTACCTAGTTAGCAACTGCCTAGTAAACAAGTCCCCTCAAATATATCATTGCAAACAAAACAACAGTCCACCTGATGCTAATAGGCCCAGTGGGACAGAGAACTGCTAATGTGCTCCGTTGGAGAAAACATGCTCACTTTACAGACAATAATAACAGTGAGCTAGAAGGCAACCTCCGTCAATGGAAGAACTTAGTGGTGGTAGACTGTACTGTGAGGAATGGCGGTGGTCTAGGGACACACCCTCCCAGGTGGGAAGCCCACCCTCAGAGCAGATGCAAATAACAGCTGCAAATACACAGCTCAGAACCTGGCCTAACACGGGACTTGTGGCTGGAGCTCTGAGGAAGTAAGGACCGGGAGTCTACTGTGCAGCTCACCTAGACAAGCTTTAGATGATTAAATACAGCTCTACAGGGAGAAAAGGATGGAAAGGGGAAGAGGAGGAGGAAGGAGCAGCCCGAGGCGGAAGGGGGGATGTGGCTGGGGCACCCTACCTGTGTGCTACCAAAGCTCCAGGGTGCCAGCTTCAACACATGACTCAGTAATTGTGCTGGACTGTAATGAAGCTAAGTGAAAAGGGCTGGGCTGAGACCGTGGTGAGAAATGAATAAATGAGTGCTGGGACTAGAAACAAGGCAGGCTGCAGGTAAGCCCTGATGGGGCCAGCATGGAGCCACAGTGTACAGCTCTCACGTGGTATGCCCAGAAACAGTCCTGGATGAATGGATGGACACGAAGATACATGCTCATGCGTTCACACTTCAGCTCAGCTGCTTCCAAAAGCAAACTCAGGGCAGCTCGTATGAAAACCACATCTCTGGTAAAGTCGAATGACACACACTGAACTATCATAACGAACAGGTTTTGCACAGAGCAGAGACGTTCTTACTGGAGATTTGACAGGAAGCTTTGAAAGGAAAGAAGACAGGTATTTAATTGAAAAGAAGAGGGAGAAGAAGAAGGCTTGTTTGAGAGTTAGTGGAAATTAGCAGTAAGTAAACACAAGGGATGTGACAACAGGAAAGGAAGGATCCTAGGACAATGCCAAACATCTTGGTTTGCAAATATTGAAACAGAACTAGGTGGGGGGGGTGAGGGGGCGGGCTGAAGTCCAGCTGTGCAGAGACAGGGCTGAGATCAGAGCTCATCTCTTCATTTCCAGTTTGCCCTATTGACAACATTATCAATCCACAAAGCAATAAAAACAAAACTTCACAGAGCTAAATAATAATAACAACAATAATAAATCATGGAAGATTTTATTATTTTAGGTATTAGTAAAACAAATTCAAGTTTTTGAAGGCTTTGAAATTAAACACTTCTGGTTAGATCCTATGCTCCAATGTGTTGGCAGTCAAGATAATTTGCAATTGGGCAAATGTGCACATAGCACTTACCATGCACAGAAATGGTGCTTGTAGATGCCAGGAGACCCCTTGGAGGTACACAACCCACACACATTACATTATCACCAACACTTCAGACCTATGAACTTGACTGGTACATATGTGTGTATGGTGAACCTTCCTTTCTAACAATATATAGACTTTTAAAAATCTTTTTGTTTGCTTGAGGTTGACTTGTGAGACAGCTTCCTGCAGACTTGTTATACAGCTGCGGGAGACTTAGAACTTCTGACCCTCCTGCCTCCATCTCTGGAGTGCTGGCTTTACAGCTACGGACCACCACGCCCACCACGCCCAGTTAATGTGGTGCCGGGGATCAAACCACAGGCTTCATGCGTGTGGTTAAGCACTCTACCAAACCTGCTACACCCCCAGCCCAGACTTTAAATCTTGAAATGAAATGTCTTGAGCATGTCTCTCAAATGCCATTTCAGCGGACAAGAGGTGGGGTGGAGATAGTAATAGCTAACAAGACTGTTATGGATGTGACATTATCAATTCATGTCTTAACAAGCATTGAATACAACTAAGACAGAAGTCTGAGATCTACAGCCAGGCTACATTTAAATCTCTCTGAAAACATCTGAGATCAGCAACAGATTTGATTCTTGTTAAAAATCGAGTTTCCTAGGCAAGTCTGTATATGTAAAATCATTGTGGATTGAGGCTGTGACAGCTATGGATCTAATGGGAGGGCGGGGAGAGGTCATCTGCTCCTTTGGACTTTGTAAGCATCTGCAACAATTTTAATAACACCCCAATAAAGACTAAAGCCCAGAAAATCCTTATGGTTGACCCTGCAAAGAGCCTTAGCCATCAGCTTCTTGGGGCCAGGTTGCTTTGAAGTCTATGTAAATTTTAGTCAGTACAAGATGATGTTTTGGAGACCCTCTCTCTGAAATGCTATTTCTTTAAGCAGAAGCCTGGCATCCTGGGACTCCCCTTGGCTTTCTATAAGAAATTTTGTCTTGAAAATCAAAACCATTTACTTTATTCTGAGCTGCAAGAGAACAGTGACTTCAAAGAGAATTGAGTCAATGTGTGACATTTATCTTTATAGCAAACGGACATCATCTTCCCTCTAGCGTGTCCCTTTTCAGAGGAGCCGTGTAGCATGTGCTGGGGGCGCAGGTCACATGAAAGACGCCTCCCCCTCGAGTGTCACATCTCTCTGGAGGGGCGGAAAGGCTACCGAGTGCTGGACTCTCAAGGAACAACAACAACAGAATCCTGCTCAAAAAAGAAGAAAGCCAGACCTAAAAGACACTATTTTTTCATGATCTGGACTCCCTTGACCTAAAGAAGGCCAAAGCAATGTCTGGTGTCTAAATTACTCGAGACAGGATCAGCGTCCCTAGCTCACAGCTCTTTGGAACTCCAGAGACAACTTTATGTGCCCTTTTAGTAACATTTTGAGAAACAGCTTTAAAAAAAATCCTTCTTGAAATCAGGGAGGTGTGTGATTTTGTGGTCTCTTTGCAGCGCTGAAAGGTGGGTGGTATTTGTTTGTTTGGGGCAGTTTTTCTTTATTTTCCCCTGAGACTAACCTCAAACTCATTATGTAGCCAGGGATGACCTTGAACTTCTGATTCTTCTGCCTCTTCCTCTCCCCTGTAACTAACGTCTGAGCCTTCAATGATTGAAATAGTAAATATCTCTTACAGGTCTCCCTCACTAAATTCTAGTAAAAGGCCCACAGAGATGCTGGCAAGGCCAGGCACATCTAACCCGCAAGGGGAGCACGTCTCTCTCCTCGGAGAATCCTACAGCCAAACACAAACTCAGTTTTCACTGGGTGCCCTGACTTCTCTTTCAGTTCTTGCCTTTTATAGCTAAGACCACTGTAAAATACTGAAGGGACTACAGTGTGACTTCAGGAGACTGGCCCGATCAGTCATTCCTTTCCAAGCCCAGTCAACTAACTACCTTTCACTCCTCAAGGTGTAGAAGCTTCTCCAAGTAACTGATGCCCAGACTGATGTATAATATAAACATCAAAAACCGACTGCCTCCACAGAAAGGAGACCATTGATGCAACTGCACTTTACATGCAGTCTTAGCTCCCTAAACTAAATGACTCTGGGTCGGAAGTGATTTATCCTATCAGGGATTACCCAGCCCCCTTGACTCTCCCTCATTTTGGTCCTTTCATCATGAGGAAGGTGAGGAGTCAGGAGAAGCGAAACTCAGAATGAAGAAGCATTTTGGTTACTCTAAGGACAGGTCAGATACTCAGGAGTCAACCACTTGCCTCGCTTGAATCCGAGTCCCAGGTATCCATTTCCTCAGTCTGTTCTGCTGTTCAGTGGGTTTTTTGTTTGTTTGTTTGTTTGTTTGTTTGTAGATAGGGTCTTAATATGAGTCCAGCCTGGTCTCAAACCTGCGATCCTTCGGAACGCTGGACTGACAGGTCACCATGCCTAACTCGTTTACAGAAGTTTGTTGTTGTTGTTGCCATTATTTGTTTTACCCTTATTGATGTGTGTGTGCGTGAGTGCGTGTGCGTGTGTGTGTGTGTGTGTGTGTGTGTGCGTGCGTGAGTGCGTGTGCGTGTGCGTGTGTGTGTGTGTGTGTGCATGCATGTGACATGTGTATGCTATGTGCATGGAGGTCCGATGGCAACTGTCAGGAGTTGTGTTCTACCTCCACCATTCCAGAGGGTTCCAGAGATCACACTCAGGTGGATGGGTTGGTGGCAGGCACCTTTATCTGCAGAGCCAAGCTGCTGACCCCACATAGGGTTAAAAGTGATTACAATTACAGCACGCAGCTCATTAGATAACTTAGATGGCCATGTATCATGTATACCACCATGTAGACCAGGATGTTAACTCTGACCCCTGAGGGTCTGCCATCACGAGCACACTTCACCAATGCAGCTGCAAATGATTGACAGATGCCAGGACACACACAATGGCTATCTGGATAGTGAGGAGGACATGGCCTACTCGCTGCTCCCATTTTGCGGGACATCCTTAAGAAACGTCTGAAATCACCCCATCCCAGGAACAGGGATTTATCACAAACGCAGTTATGAAGCAAACCAGCTCATGAAAGGGATAGCCATGGTGGATGGTAGTGACTAACCCTCTCCCTCAAAGGATCTGGCTGTGAGCGCCAGGGCTCTCCGGGATAGTGCTGTCCTGGGAAAGACCATCTGGCACTGCCACACGCACAGTCCTTCATATCTGAACGCATTTGGCCAAAATGAAGCATGTGCAAGAAAGTCTTGCATTCTGTTTGACAAGAATTTACAGGTGAACAAAGCTTAAGTTCCACAGAAATGTAATAAAAATGCTAACATACAGGTCTGTGCTATGATCAACTAGGGCAGGGCAGTCACCGACTAGACAAAAGTCCGTTTGTGACAGAGGCAGCAGGGCCTCCCCTTGTCCACTATTTCAAAAGCAGCGTCCCCCGTCTGTGTTCACGGATACCCTGCACTCCGACAGAGACGCTTTGATCTCCCCCATTAAATGTATCTGGTATGGAACTAGTCTGGACTTGGAAAGGGGTGGGGGTGGGGTGCATGAAAGACAGGGAGTTCTGCACATCGCTAAGATTATTCATTACTTGTCAAAAACCACCACTATTTGTGAAGGCTTTGTGTAGTGCACACACGAAAGACTATTATGCTGTCCATTTTAAGTATTTTGTTGTGTTCTTGCCTTTTGATTCTACCTCGTCTTGGATGGGGAGTCCCACTGAAAAGGCAAACAGGAAGACATGGTGGGAAGTTTACAGTCACAGCGACCTGCACCGTGGCTGAACAAGATTCCATACCTGAATTGGAGGGCTTGGAGACTCTTCCCTTGGAAACTGGAAGTAACAATAATTCCAAGGATTGAGGCTGTGCGGGCGGAGGTGGTGGTGGTGGTGGGGTGACCTTTTCTGGCTTCTTCTCAGAAGGCGGCAGTGGTAGAGGGTCGTCGGGCAGTAAGGATGACTTCTCAGCCAGGAGGCTGCCCGCGGCCCTGGCGGCCACTTCCTTCAGAAGGGCTGCAGAGGAGGTCATAGAGGCCAGCGACAGGAAAGAGCTGGCTGGAGGCGGGTGCTCCTGGCCCGGGGTCAGACTTCTCTCACTCACTTTTTTAGACAAAGCTGCCAGAGTGGAGCTCGCAGACTGGGAGCTGAAGGGGGAGGAGAAGGGTTCAAACCTCAGGCTCTCCTCTGTCCGGGACAGGGACTTGTCCTGCAGAACAGCATTGGCTGCGGCTTTCAGTTTGAGGATGGCCGAATCTGGGGACAGGCCACAGGTGGTGGTTGAGTCTGGCAACCACTTACCTTGATTCCATAGGAAACGGTTACTTGGGGAGTATTGGTCGTTCTGATCCTGCTTCTCTGCCAGCTTCCTGGCCAGGACACTGAGCTGCTGGGCATGGTGGGAGGGCGGGGAAAATGACAAACTGGGGCCGACATTCACAGGGGACTCCACCCTGCCATTGGCCGTGGCGTCGAGTTTAAGGGACCCGGCCTCCAGCAGCCGCCTCAAGTTGCTGCTCAGAGGTTTATTGGAACTGGGTGGGTCATCGTCACACACAGAAGACACTCCAGGCGAAAGATGGTCTTGACACTGCAGTGAGTCTCGAAGGACCTCACCATCGAGCGCCACCAGCTCCAGCGTGTGGCTGCTGGGGGTGGCGCTGCCCAGGGAGGTGTCGGGGGATGTGGACTGCTCTTGGATCCGGTCCTCCAGGGACAGCTTATAGTTCTCCTGGACTTCCCCATAGGATGCTTCCGACGGAGTCTCTGAGGAGTTCCCATACCAGTGCTCTCCTTCGCTGAACTCTCCCTCGGCCTCGTCCTGCCTACTAACATCTGGGGGAATCAAGAAGACCAGGTTACTCCCAAAGAGACACTCAAGCGGGGTGGCGACATGCGCTCTTCCCTTCCACCCAAGGACCAAACAAAAGCCAGCGATGCCAAGAGCTAAATAGGCAAAGACAGAAACACCAGCAGTTTGTCTTTCCAGCAGCGATTCGGTCGAGCTGAACTAGACAAAGAGAAGAGGAAGAACACAACCCGCAAAGAAGTGGCTAGATGAAAACCCCACTGCTTCCCATGACTGGGGACAGCAAGGAGAGCCCAAAGGCTTCCAAGCACCAAGCAGTTACCCTCTGCATGGTGACAGCACTGGAGAGCACCCTGCAGGGCCAGGAAGCTGCCCCCCACTCCTATCCCCCCACCCCGCAGCCCGTCCTAGCCCAGTGACCTCAGGGAGATCACCTAGGTGGTTTGAGGCTCCATTTTCTCCAGTATAAGATGCAATTCAGTTTTTCATAAGACTCCTCTGAACATGTAAACACTGCCTGCCACACTCTCTCGGCCAGTTGTTACGCTTAAGTTCCAATAAGCATGTGACCATGTTTTGAAAACAGAAAAGAGCTCTATAAAAATCAGATCTCATTAGCAAACTCTGCTTGCATTAGTGACTTCTTGAGAACGTGTGTGTCCCGGTTCTGATGTCACTCGTTTCCCAAAGCTCTGACTTCTACCAGTCGCTTTCCTGCTGTGACTTAAGGGTAGTTAGTGACTAGGAACCTGTTCCTTTAAGCCACCATGAGTTCTCAGGAGCTACTTCCTCTCCATTCACACACTGATCCACCACCGCTGTGGTCCTCCCACACACACCGATCAGGTGGATAGTGACTAACCCTCTCCCTCAAAGGATCTGGCTGTGAGCGCCAGGGCTCTCCGGGATAGTGCTGTCCTGGGAAAGACCATCTGGCACTGCCACATGCACAGTCCTTCATATCTGAACGCATTTGGCCAAAATGAAGCATGTGCAAGAAAGTCTTGCATTCTGTTTGACAAGAATTTACAGGTGAACAAAG